TCTAATGGAGCACGGTATGGTGAAGCTACCAGGATCCTTCAACTTGGGCGGCAGCCGATTCTTCAAGATTGCACTGCATTCTTCGGTTAGTGCCACCGTCTCAAATTCACCTAGCCTTCGTTTCTTTGAGAGGATATCCTTCATGAACTTAACGTAACTCGGCATTTGCTCCAATGCCTCCACGAGTGGAATGTTGATATGAAGCTATTTCAGCACGTCAAGGAATCTCCTGAATTGCTTATCTTGTTTTTGATTTTGAAATCTCTGTGGAAATGGGGGTGGAGGTCTCTCTGGTTTGTTTTGCTTCAGCTTTGCTGTAGCATCCTGGTCGACCACATCCTGTTCTGATTCAGCTGGTGGTTGCTGGACTTCCTGGGTTTGGATCGAAGAGTGCTCTGTTGCTGCAGTCTGTCGAGTTGGTTGTTCAATTTCTCTACCATTCCGAAGTGTGATAGCTTTGCAATGCTCCTTACACTGTTCCTTACCATCTCTTCTTGGGTTTTCCGTATCGCTCGGAAGCGATCCTTGGGGTCTATTACTGAGAACATTAGCCAATTGCCCCACTTGATTTTCCAAGGTCCTCAACGATGCAGCTTGACTCTAGAGGAGAGCTGCTTGACCCTGAATGAGCGAGTCATTCCTTGCCATGTACTCTTTAAGTAATGCCTCCATAGGGGTTGATGACGCTTGATGTGGCTGCCTCTGATTTGATTGCTCTTGAGGTGGCTGTCTTTGATGTTGATGTTGATGAAATCCTGGTGGATATGCTGGCTAGGCCCTGGCATCGAACCAGCTTCTTGATTCGACCAAGAAAAGTTCGGATGCTGCTTCCACCCCTGGTTATATGAGTTGGAATAAGGGTTGTTATTCCGGTTAAAGTTGTTCACATAGCAAACCGACTCGGGGTTGGATGGGCAATTTTCAAATGAGTGCTCAGCTCCACAGTAGACACAAGTTAATGCAACTGGGGTTGCTGCATTAGCTGGAGCAGCCACATTTAGAGACTTCAAAATATTGGAAAGAGAAGAAACTTGAGCAGTCAACGCAGTCACCGCATCTACTTCATGAATTCCTGCCACTCGTCTCCCTGCAGAAACTCTTTCGGTGGGCCACTGGTAATTGTTGTTGGACATTCTTTCCAGAATTTCATAAGCCTCGTTGTACGACTTCACAAGTAAGGCTCCATTCGCTGATGCGTCCACCATGGCTCTAGTCGAAGCATTGAGCCCATTGTAGAAGGTTTCCATTTGAATCCAATAGGGGAGTCCGTGGTATGGACACTTCCTTAATAATTCCTTAAAGCGTTCCCATGATTCACATAGAGCTTCCCCTTCCAACTGCTGAAATGATGTGATATCATTCCTAAGTTTGGCATTTTTGTTCGGAGGGAAATATTTCACCAGAAATTTCTCAGCCAAATCATTCCAATTAGCTACCGAATCTGGTGGCAGAGAATTCAGCCATGCTCTAGCTCGGTCCCTTAGAGAATAAGGAAATAACTTGAGATGAAGAGCCTCTTCTGTCACACCTGGGGCCTTAAATGCTTCACATACTTCAATGAAAAGCCGAAGGTGCATGTGTGGGTCATCGGTTAGCATCCCGCTGAACTGCCCCACGGTTTGGAGCATTTGGAACATGACTGGCTTCAACTCGAACTTAGTTGCCTGGATTTCTGGCCTCACAATGCCTGGATGCAAACCATCGAGCATGGGGATGGCATAATCCCTAATGGCCCTGTCCCTATCCTCTGCTATTACTACCACTTGATTACCTTGATTATTCCCACCTACTCCGTCAGCCATTTCTTCAATTCCAGCTAACCCCTGTTGTTCCCTTCTTCTGGCTCTAAAGGTTCTTTCAATCTCCGGGTCCAAGGGAATCAAATCTGCATCCCTTGGTCTATTCATGCAAGAAGGTTACACCTGCTTTAGCACAACAGGAGCAACTGAGATTAACAGAAGCAATATTGGATTTAAATGAACAAAAACTTATTTCTATAATAATTTCTATTAACGCCAAGTCCCCGGCAACGGCGCCAAAAACTTGTTCGCCAAAAACTCTATGCATAAAATGACTCCACGCAAGCGCACGCAATCGAACAAGTAATATAGTAATGAGTAAAGTATCGTCTCCACAGGGACTGAGTTGCATAAGGACAAATTATTATTTTCTCTCCTTGTTTCTTATTAGCTTAATTTTTCTTTCAATGAATGCCATCATAAAATTCAATGTTTAGGAGCCTTCACTCTATTAAGAGCATGTTTATTTTGCATCAAAGGAAAAAGAAATAAGGAGTGATTTTCTTTTTCATCTAATAATGTGTTTACTTATAAAATTAATAATAAAGATTTAATTGGCCCAACACAATATGAGGAATAAGGAAAGGGTTTACCAATTTTTCCACCCCTTAGTATCAAAGGGAAATAATGCTACATTTACTTATCTTCCTTTAATGAATTACTATACAGTCAATGATTATTTAATTTTGTAAAAGGACACATTTTAGTGATTACATTCATAACATTGTTATTCCTAAATTTAGTAAAAATAAGAAAGAAAATGTGGTTGTTTCACATTACACTATATAATAGTCAAGTAAACAAATAAAATAAATTTAATCTTATTATTTTACTTTTTTTTTCTAATCTCATTATCTTTCTTATTACATTTTTTTACGATTTGATAAATGTGCCAAGCGTGTAACATGTAGCATGAGAGAATTGGCACGTTAAAGACAATATGATTTCGTGCATGTGGCTAATATCAAGGATCAGATATAAGATATTGTTCATCTTTGAGGGGCCACAAGTTGTCCAATGATGGAGGAGTAGGGAATCAAGTTATAGTTTTCTTTGTATAGACTCTCATAATTGCTCCTATGTATTGTCATTTGTATTCTTCCGTATGAGCTTGGATCGGTTTAGAATTTTTTTTTTCTAGGCTCGTGTTTGTCTTCTTACTTCGAATGCCTTCTTGTACTTTGCAGTTTCTCAACTCAAGTTCTTGCTGCAAATCACGTCCTGTAGCAAGCTCACTTGCCTTGATGCTTATGTGAGTGCCTGCAGTTTATATGTATCCGAATCAGGAGAGCCAATTCCATTAAGGATTTTTCACAACCAATTTAAGAAATCACATTTCGTGTTAAATCTTCTTAGAGTGACAATTGATGCAGCCATGTCGTTTTTTACCATTGATTAGTGTTGGTCCCATAATGTGTTTCACGTGAAGCCCACAAAAATCAATAATGAAGAATAAACGGCTTCTATGTACCTTTTTCTTATTTTTGAGTTGTTATTGATCACAATTTCTCTGTATCTTTTCCTTATTTTTGAGTTGTTATTATCATAATTCATCAGTTTTATTTTAAATAAAGTCAATTTAATATTAAAATCAAGCATATGATACAATAAGCGAGTGGTACAATACCTCCAATCAAATTAATGCTATCTTCGAACCTTAGTGCAAATCTAGCCAAGCATGAGCTGCATCATTAGTATCTCTAGAAATATGAGTAATCTTAACCGTGGAAAATAGGATAACAAGTTGAATGCATCTCACAATAGAATGGCAACCCCTATACAAATTGGCTTGGGATTCTTCAAAAAGCTTGAGCCACCACGTGTGTCTCACATCACCAGTTCAAATTAAGATTAGGCTATTGGAACTCATTTAAGATCACATATTTCGCTAATTGAAGTGAGACATTCTCAATTAATAAATATAATCAAAATATCTTATATTTTTATATTTATTAATTAATCTACTCTATAAATAGGAGATTGCAGAAAATTAGAGAATACAAATTTTTGTTCTCCCTATCTTATAGTGGCCGGTTTTATAAAGTGAGAAAAAGGAAAATTTTCTCCCCAATACAACGTCGTGCATGTGTTGATGTTCGTAGAATACTTAAGTGTTTGAGTGCTTATCCCGTTTTGTTTCAAGTGCGCCCACACACACGTCTTCATAGATTCAAGGAATTGATGAAAAAGATTCGGGTATTCTAAACAAGCTTACAGCGAGGAACATTCATGATCAAAGAACTCAAGTTATCGACATAATCGTTCGCTAAGTAAATTTATTGATAAATTAATTTATTCGTGCATAAATTACTGTATTCTATAAAATATCTCAAAAATTTATTTAAATTAATTTATTCATAAATTAATTATTGGTATAAAAAATCGTTTTCAAAACAACACTTTATTCAATTGGCCCTATACAGTGACTCACAATTCAAGGCCAGCCAAGTGTTTCTCTGCGTCGTGTGCACTGGAAAGTATTTGGAGAGCTCGCAACGATGCCATCTTTTGAGAGCAGACTTTTAATCCTCTTAAAGTCTTCAAGGAGGTTGAATTGCTTTATTTAGAGTACCTCCTGACCCCGCGATTAGAATTGTTACGCATTGGCAGGCACCTCCTCCAGGCTGAAAAAACGTTGAATACAGATATCTCTATGGGACAATTCAACGCAACGATCTCTGTAATTGGAAGAAAACCTGATAGCACTGTGATCATTGCAGCCTCAAAAAATACTAATGCTGACGATGATGCTTTGGCTAAAGCTGAAGCAATAAGTTTCGCACTCTTGTTGGCTGAATTCTATGGCTACTTCCCAGTGACAACAATTGAGAGTGCTTCCGCCAAGGTGACAATAGAGGTTGGAACTTTGCCGCTCACAACTTAGCTAAGTGGTGTAGGGTATGTCTTGTAGTTGCTGAGGTTCCCATCCCTTTCAAGTGTATTCCATAAGGGATATTTAAGGACTATGATCTACGGCCTCATTGTCCTTAATCGGCTTCGTCGTTTCTTTTCTTTGTTAGTTTTGTCTATGCTTGTTTTAGGCTCAGGAAAAAAAAAAAAAAAAGAAAAAAAAATTCAAAAGTAATAGAGAGAGAGAGAGAGAGAGAGAGAGAGAGAGAGAGAGAGAGAGAGAGAGAGAGAGAGAGAGAGAGAGAGAGAGAGAGAGAGAGAAATTTGAAAAAAGAAAAAAAAAAAGAAAAAGAAAGCCCCACACACATACGAGAAAGCCAGCATGAATGATATCCCCCAAACTCATTAATATAATTAAAAAAAAAAAAAAAAAAAAACCCCCCCACTTCTCATCTCTCTCGCTCCACACTCGCTGTCTTTCTCAATCTTCTACATTATAAACTTCAAAGCAAAGAACAAACACAAATAATACCAGCATCATTCATATTTCTTCAACCACAACAACAAAACGCCTCTCTCTCTCTCTCTCTCTCTCTCTCTAAAACTTCCCCCAAAACCTCAGCTTCCACAGAAACCGAGAAATGCTAGATCCAGCAAACGATCTCCTTCCTCCACCTTCCTCTCCCACCAACTCTTCCATTTCCTCCTCCGATCTCGACACCGAGGTAATCATCGCCGATCTTCTTTCTTCTCTCTCTCCTAATTTCAAATTTCAAATTCTATTCTTTTCTTATTCTAATTCACTCTTTGTCGTTTTTTGCAGTCCACGGGCTCCTTCTTCCACGACAGAAGCACGACACTGGGAACGCTAATGGGCGTAAGCTTCCCTGCGATCGCCTTCCGAGCGCCGTCGCAGCGCCGCCGCGAAACCCCGATCTCCACATCGGCCGCCCAGTCCTCCGTCGTCGCCGGCGCCGGCTCGAGAAAGTGCAGGAAGGCGAAGACTAAGAAGGCGGTGGCGGTTGTGGCAGAGAGGACGCGGCGGTGGTGGAGCTTGTGCCGCGATGATGGCGATACGAAGCCTGCGTCGCTGGGAGAGTTTCTGGAGGTCGAGAGGAGGTTCGGTGACGGCGCGTTCTTCGGAGCCGCGACGGAGTTCGAGAGAGCGGTGGTCGGAGAGCAGAGGAATGGACGGGTCTTGTTCGCCGACGGTAGGGTTCTTCCGCCGGCGGTGGATGTTGACGAAACGACGTCGTCCTCGGATGGGGCTCTCTGTAGATTCCCTGTTTATCTCACTGGGATCTGCAGCGGTTGTGGTGTAGGATAAAATTTCCTCTCTTTTTAAGTTGTGTTTTATTTTTTTCTAAAATATTTGTTTCTTCCACTAATAATATTTAAAGAATACATAAAATATTCTTTGGCTTTGTTCGAAGGGGATTAAAATGGGGTAATAGGGCGATAAAAGAAAAGAAAAAAAAAAAGAGCAAATTTGGCTTTTCTTTCGTATTTGGATTTTTTTTTTTTTTTGGAGCAATTTCGTATTTGGATCTTTTCTTTCCGTTTTATTATTATTTTTCTCTCTTTGTTTGATTTTAAAAAGGGAAAACTATATAGTTGTTTATAACGTTTAGACAGACGTATTAAATTATCCTATGATTATCCGTTTAGTGATATAGTCACGGTCACTTTCGGAAACATACTTTTGTAAAGATAAATGTTAAGTGATGGGTCAAGCTTTTGGCTACTTTAGTGGTTGCTCTGTGGTCCTACGGAGAGAGCCAACGAGTTTCAAATGTCTAGTCCTTAGTCATGTGAGATAGTTTGGTTCTTCAAAACTTTTTGCAAAGATGTCAAGGATACAATTCTGTCATTTCACAAATCTCTGATGGACATTTGGTTTCTACCATATTTGGCTTTACTTTTTACCCATTCTGTGTGGCAACTTTAAACTTGCTTTGAGTTGGAAGCAAAGATGAAAATATGATATTTAATAATGGTGGAAATTGACGTAAAAATCAGCATATTAAAACGCTTTATTTTTAAATTAGATTTTAAAAATCTTAAAATAGATAATAATACATTAATTGGATGAAACTCTCAATCAAAATATCGATTACTTGATAAATATGGAAGATAAAGTGTGATTATAATACCATAAATGTTCAATACACGTTCACAAATTAACTTAAATAGTTGAAAGTTAACGTAATACATATGTTATACATATATGGTTTCATAGACGATGATAAATTATCAACACTAAATGGAGCTTCTATGAGGTTGGAATGTATTTTGAATGCATTCTTAGTTTAAACTTGTATTGATACCATGACATGGAGTTTGAATAGTTCCTTATATACTTTTGGACATGTCATATTTTTTAGATTTTTTTAAATAGTAAAATAATAAAAATATATATATATATATAAAGTTGCAGAAATTTCTATGGAAATTTACTTATATTTTTTGCAAAATTTTCGTAAAATTTCCACGATATTTGGTCATTTAACACTACGTTTTATTTGAAAATAAAAATTTATGTAAAAATATTGATATTTACGGAAATATCTGTAAAAATTTCAAGATATTTTGTAAAAAAGATACTACATTCTTATTTTTATATCGGTACTTTCAAAATACGAAAATTTCCGAGAAATATCGAGAAAAAATGTTGATATTTTAATCCTTAATTGCAATGAGAATATGCGTTCACTTCTTGTTGTCTGATTTCCTAATTGAGAATTTGAGATAGATGTATTATTATTTTTTCATTAATAATTCAAAATTATTTGACATGATTTAAATACGAGGAGAATTTAAGATATGATATATAAAAATATATTGATTAATCTATGTATTAAACCGTCATTTTTATATTAGATTTTGTCAAATTTGTATATATATGTGTGGTTTTAATGGTTATTTTATTATTTATTTATTAATGTGTATTATTGTTTTATTCATAAAATATTAATACGATAGTTGTAATAAATTAAATAATTGATTAAAAAATTAATGATAATTAATTAAATTAAATTCTTATCATGGTATATAATTAAATTTTTATATTTAAAAATAATTACTGATGAAAACGTAACTATTAAAAACTAGTCTATATATTTCTATATATATATATATTATTATCAGAACATAAACATCCTACCTCTAATACCTCTATCTCTATCCTACCCCTAATAAGTTCTTACACGTATTATACAATTAGTAGTACGACTCTGTGGTAAACTTAATTGTCTAGAAATTACTCATACTGGTTTCTGAACTGTATAACTTCTGGATAATTTACCGTTTGACACTTTTGAGCGTGACAATTGCCTTGCGGAGCACTTATTGTACCTCTCAAAGAGCTGATTTGTCGTGGTCTGACCTTGAAAATAATAACTACGCTAACCACATGACATTCAAATACCTTGACAAAACTCATGGTAGGAGCTATATTTTTACCCTATCAATTGGTAATATTATTTTAACGTTGAATTAACTTTTTAATCGTGTGATTTAGAGTCTACAATTGAAAGTAGTTTTATACTGTATGTTTGCGCGCTTTAAATTTTAATGTGGACATTCACACATAAATCAATTCTTTAAAAAGTTAAATTTAACTGTTAAAAATATTACCTACTGATAAAGTAAAAATATATGCCATACTATAAAAGTTATCACTGTAGGGATTGTTTTGGTAAGTGTTTGTTTTAAACCGTGAAATTTAAGTTGGATTTTGTTAATTTTTCTTTTTTTTTTTTAAATTTTGATATGATTTTTACTAAATTTAAAGTTTAAAAACATGGCTATAGAACCGTAGAAAGCTTCATACACGCAGACACACACACACACACACATATATATTACTAAAAAAACATTATGCGATAGGCAATTATGAATTGTGTCAACTAAAAATAGTTCTCCCTGCGCTTAATTTGGAAGACATAATTTGATGGGGAAACTAGAAGGCAACTACTGAAATGACGTTTGTACTAAATGGGCCACTGACCATAACCAACTACCAATAGTCAGAGTTTGAAAAGGTTCACCAGTTGTACCCCTCCTACAGAATGAAGCACCCTTCTTTCTTGCGCAAAGCAATGGCCAACAACTCAGTGTGCCCTGGTGCTTAAAAAAAAAAAGAAAAAAAGAAAAAAAAAAAAACATGCACGCATGATGCATGTTAAAATATGCAAAAAAGAAAGAAAGAGAACCACAAAGCGCACAAACACAGAACTTCAGCAAAAAAACAAAAATAGAAAAAACAAAAGCCAGCCCGCTATTAGGTCACGTAAGAGAAAGCCCATTGGTTCTTCATTTCGTTTAAAATTTGACTGAAATGTTGGAAATAGAGAAAAGAGACTTAAAATAAGTAAAAAGTACGCTTTTATTAAAGTGTAATTTGTCCCCTTTTGTTAGAGATTACTTGGGATTCTCGACAAATCGCTCGCAGAATATGATAAGTTTTCAAGTTGTTAATCACAAATAAAATGACAACAACACTAAGAACACAATAACTCATATAATTTTTGGAAATTTTGAACAAGAAGAGAGAAGAATTGTAGAAAATTATATCTCATAGATTTATCAGCAATTCTTATTCTTTTATAGTTTTTTATCACACCAATACGTACAGACATAACCAAAGTTGAAGAGACACCTTTCCCATTTGAATTGGTGTCAATTCAAGTTTCAAAATCGTGTCTGATCGTCACGGCACTGTTGTGCCAGTTTCGGGCACATCAGCACCAGTTTCGGGCGCTACAGCGCCCGTTTCTGGAAAACCAGAAACTGTCTGCATAAGCCCGAGCGCCGCGGTGCCCAAACTCAGTGCCGCGGCGCTCTGTTCTCTGTCTAGTCCAGCGCCGTGGCCCCCAAACTCAGCGCCAAAGCGCCCTGCTTGCTGAAAATTATGTCCATTCCAGCGCCGCGGCGCCCAAACTCACTGCCAAAGCGCCCTGCTTGCTGAAAATTATGTCCATTCCAGCGCCGCGGCGCCCAAACTCACTGCCAAAGCGCCCTGCTTGCTGAAAATTATGTCCATTCCAGCGCCGCGGCGCCCAAACTCACTGCCAAAGCGCCCTGCTTGCTGAAAATTATGTCTGCTTTTAGATGTGATAAAACTTAAACAATCCCAACAATCCCCCACTTGTTTAAACATAATGTTGAAGAATTCTATCCAGAAACATTATATATGCATAAAGTAAAATAATATCTTTCGATTTGAATTTTACCTTAGTGTAAGTTTCACAAATGTATATCAAAATTTCAGGTAGCCTAAGGCTTTGAACCGGTTATTCCTTATGATAATACCGGTGAATCCACACACATAAATACATTAGAGTTCAAGTATTCTACACGACACTCACTGCACTATTCATGGTCTTGTGCAATCCTGATTCATAAACTTTTCAAAGAGAAACTCTAACTCTTCTTTGAGACGGCACCACCTCTAAGTTTACATAGGTGAAGTTCTTCTAGTATCTTTGTTACTTTTAAGATACTTGTTCTTAAAACTGAACTTAATTAAGAGTTAATCTTAACTCATCCCTCACACAGTAACAACCAGTACTAAAATTCTTTTGGGCTTAATGCTTAGTGCTGAAATTCTCCACTTATCAATGATTTGTTACTACCCATTGAATCTAAAATTACTCATTTCATAATGTTAGATTGGGTTGCCATCATTGGTGGATTTTAATCTAGGAGTTTTAGCCCCATCCCATTTGACATCGTCCTTATTAAATCTCTCGAAAGAGCTTTAGTAAAAGGATCTGCCAAATTTTCAATGGATTTCACATATGCAAGAGAAATTATTCCATCTTTGATTAATTTCCTTACATAATCATGTCTAATACTTATATGTCTTGACTTTCCGTTGTATATCTCGCTATATGCCCGAGGTAAAGTGGCTTGACTATCACAATGTATTGATATCGCTTATACATCCTTCGTAGTCAAAGGAATCTCCAACAATAGGTCCCTTAACTACTCTACTTCATTCCTAGCTGCTGCTAATGCAACAAATTCTAACTCCATAGTTCAGTGTGTTATATAGGTATATTTCTTGGATTTCCAAGAAATAACACATCCTCTCAAAATGAACACCCAACCAGTCATTGATTTGTTATCTCCAATACTTGATATCCAGCTTGCATCTGTATATCCTTCTAGAATAGTAGGGAATTTTGAATATTGGAGACCTAAGTTTTTGGTTTTCAATAGATAACCTAAAACTCTACCAATGGCCTTTCAATGTTCAACACTTGGATTGCTAGTAAATCTACTCAATTTACTAACAGCAAATGCTATATTAGGTCTTATGCACTGCACTGCATACATAAGACAACCAATAGCACTTGCATACTCAAGTTGAGTCACTGCTCTTCCATCATTCTCGAAAA